AGGGAAAGCTGGGTTTGAGTTTGGGGGTAATTGCCCTAAACGTTTAGGAATTTGGGGCCAAAAAGGGGCCAAAAAACACATTTTTCTAGTTTCCAGACAATAACTTGTGTTCAAGTGTATGGATCTCTCTGAAATTGTACTGCAAGGTACCATACCACAAAGGGAAGGTGAGGATTAAGTTTGGGGGTGATAAATCATAAGGGGGTTCAAAAAATTTGGGGGGGGGGGGGATTTTTTTTTTTTTCTTTTAAAATTTTCCATTTTAAGTTGGTTATTTCTGATTTATATTTAAAAGCAAATAATAATGATATGGTAGGAGATACACACCAAACAGGATGTGTAAATTATTATATAATTAGTATTGTGCAATAGCAAGAAATTTTCAATTGCACAGTATTGCACAATAGCAAGAAATCTTCAATTGCACAGTATTGCTCAATAGCAAGAAATCTTCAATTGCACAGTATTGCGCAATAGCAAGAAATATCCAATAGCACAATTTGCGCAATAGCAAGAAATTGTCAATTGTACAGTATTGCGCAATAGCAAGAAATATTTAATTGCGCAGTATTGTGCAAAAGAAGATACTTCGTATAAATTGCTAATTTCTTTACCAATTTCAATGGGGTTTTATTCTTGAATTCTTGGGGTTCTTTAATATGCTGAATCTAACCGTGTATTTAGTTTTTGGATTTTGGGCCCCCTTTTTAAATTGGTCCACATTGAGGTCCAAAGGTTCCAAAATTAAACTTTTTTGATTTCATCAAAAATTGAATTATTTGGGTTCTTTGATATGCCGAATCTAACCGTGTATTTAGATTCTTAATTTTTGGTTCCGTTTTCAAATTGGTCTACATTAAGGTCCAAAGGGTCCAAAATAAAACTTAGTTTGATTTTAACAAAAATTGAATTCTTAGGGTTCTTTGATATGCTGAATCTAAACATGTATTTAGATTTTTGATTTTTGGCCCAGTTTTCAAGTTGGTCCAAATTGGGGTCCAAAATTAAACTTTGTTTGATTTCAACAAAAATTGAATATATGGGGTTCTTTGATATGCTGAATCTTACCATGTATTTAGATTTTTTATTTGTGGGCCCGCTATCAAATTGGTTCATATTGAGGTCAAAAGGGTCCAAAATTAAACTTTGTTTGATTTCATCAAAAATTGAATTATTGGGATTCTTTGATATGCCAAATCTAACCGTGTTTTTAGATTTTTAATTTTGGGTCCTATTTTTAAATTGGTCTACATTAAGGTCCAAAGGGTCCAAAATTAAACTTTGTTTGATTTCAACAAAAATTGAATATATGGGGTTCTTTGATATGCTGAATCTAACCATGTATTTTGATTTTGGACATTGGACCTTAATAGGTAAATTAAAAAAAATGAAGTTCTTAGACCACATTCTTTCTGTGTCAGAAACCTATGCTGTGTCAAATATTTAATCACAATCCAAATTCAGAGCTGTATCAAGCTTGAATGTTGTGTCCATACTTGCCCCAACTGTTCAGGGTTCGACCTCTGCGGTCGTATCAAGCTGCGCCCAGCGAAGCATTTTATTGTATGTTAATGTCCTAGTGATCCAACTTTTCCTCGATAGACCATACTGACATATTTCAGATATGTTGCCCCTCCTTATATTGGAGTCAATCTTTAGTCTACCATAAGATACCAGTAGAAAATCTAATACCAGTCCTGAGACAACAAAAATGAAGACCATGAACTATTCATCTAGATTCAAATCACAAACCCTTTCCTCTGAACTAAAGTGGGCTTCCAAATTAATTATATTCTCCAATTATCCATGGAGACCACATAGACTACCTTAATGGCACTGATTGCTGTTGATAACAAAGGTATGAAGTTTACATCTTTATTAATCAAAATCAAATAACCATAATTTGGCACTTGGGAGTCAGAATTTCAGCTATGGGAAATTTAGCTCAAGGCCCCGTCCACAACCTTGGTAAAAACCAAATGGCCATGGACAGGACACTCCTTCAACTAACCGGAACGATGTTTCAAAGTTAGGATGAAGCGATGCTTCATCTCGCAACAGGAGGCTAGGATAAGAGGGGGTTGAATTGACAGTGGAGAAAGAAATATATGAACTTAATTACTTGGGGACCAATGGTCAATTTCATAAGGGAAATTGAGCTGACACAGAAAACCACTGGTTTGCTGAGGCTGCTCCCACACGTCAGAACAGAAGTTGAAGGTGTTTAATGGGGATGTTGGGTGGGTAAATTTAAAAGTTTCTTCATTAGCAATACAAAACTATGACCTTTGTTATCAACAGCTAAACATAAACTGATGCAGCCTGGGGAAATATGAGACGGGTAGAACCACAGCTTATCTCCTAACCAAATAAGGACAGCACACAAGTGCCTGAAGACAATGAACACCACTACACATAGATCATCTCTTGAATAAACAATGCTTATAAAACATTATAATTAGCTTCTATTGAACAAATTAAAAGAAGTCTTTTAAATATGCCTCAGATTGTTTCCTTTATTGATTAATTGTTAGTCCCCTACCAACGAAGTCGAAGGGGACTTTAGGTTTGCACTCTGTCCGTCTGTCTGTCCATCTGTCAGTCCGGCAAATCAGTTTTCCACTATTTTCTTGGTGCTTGAAGATATTTATCTGATATTTGGTATATAGTTTTATCATGACAAGTTACAGATCAAGTTCGAATTTTGTTCTGGTCTGATGATTCTGTGCAGAGTTATGGTCCTTGGACTTGAAAAAATACTCAAATAATCAGTTTTCAACATTTTTTTTCGTCATGCTTAAAGTTATTGACTTAATATTTGTTATATAGTTTACACCATGACAAGTTATAGATCATGGTAGCATTTTGTTCCAGTACAATGAATTTTTAACCGGTAGGGGACTATGTATTGCCATGCAATACTCTTAGAATGCTTGTTCAAAATGGTTTTTCAAAAAAGAGGGTAAAAAGGAAAGATAATATGAAGTTGTAGATTTACACAGGAAATTGTTTTTAGGTGAGGGCTTTTTGATTTGTCGGTTTATGTATATGCCAACCCAATTTTTCAAATTTTCAGAGAGACAAAAAATTTAAAAGTGAAATTTTGTGCTTTTTTTCTTCAAACCTACTCTACTAAATTCATTATTCCTGAAGTATAAATAAAAACATATTAGTTGTAGCAGTTACCTCAAATTATGTATATTATTGTATCGTATTTAAACTTAAACAGAAATGATAACACATGTCCATTGTGTTGAATATAAATCTCAAAATAATCTGTTGAATAATAGACAATCAAGCTGATCTGGAAATGTTGTTAAAATACTGGGGATGTCAACGAGTACTGGAGTACTCGAGTATCGCTCTGTAGTACCGAGTATCGAATACCAAAATGATACTTGACTAATCGGTTTCCTGTTAAAATGTTGCTTTCTTAAGCTTAAACAAAAAATATTTTTGTTGACAGCGCCTCCCGAGAAATTAAATATTAAGCAAAATTAATAAAAATTAAAATATGATTCGAATGTTTGCGTTTAACTGTCATTTAAAATTCCCCCAAACAGAGGTAGGCTATGAACAAGAGCACTTTTTCCAAGGCTTACACTTTTAGCTTATCTTAGTCATTTTCCCACCTCTGTACCGTCTGTTATATATATTTTCATCAGCAGGAATGTTAGTTACCTAACAAAGTTGAGAAATTGCCTCGTCCAAGAAAAAGTTGACAAGATAATATTTTTAAATAAGAACAAATTCGTTGCACCCTGTGTTGGTCGACCCTCAGAAAATGATTAAAGGCATCAGTTAGTTCTAATCATCACTGCTTTGTTGATCATTAAATGTGTTGTTTTTTTTAGGTTCCCAAATACTGTTGTTTGAGTTATCATTTTTCTATAGATATTAATTAATTACTTGATTAGATTATTGCCAGTTTACATAATTAGTACATGTAGTAAATGAGCTAATATGGTATAAAATTCCTTGGACTATTATCTAGTCCTAGGAAATAACATTGAGGGTTTTATGTTCATCATAACTAACCCACAATACATAAAATGGGTATAATTTTGTGTTTCCATTTTTTTAATGTTTTACCGAGCGAGTACTTGAGTATCGCTTGGTAAATAGAACGAGTACTCGATTAGTTAATCTTTACCGAGTTGACATCCCTATAAAATACACAAATAATTTTACGGAACAAAAACCTATGTTAATAGCCCACATAAGTTTGTTTCCCTTTCTTGTCATAATTCCATAAGATTTTATTTTTAACCATTTTTGGGATAAGCTGTTTCATCCTCAGATGCAAATGGACCCGTCTAAATGGTAAAGACATTATAGTAAAAAGTAACAGAAGTCAGAAGATGACCACAGGCAATTTGAAATTTTCTTGTTTCGTAGGTTGTACAAAATTTTGTTGTCGTCCATTTGGATATCAAAAGCAGGGTTACCTTGCAAAATGGACAAAACCAGAAACCCCATCTTTTGCATTGGACTCAATGGTAAATTGTTATTTTTGAACAACATGTTTTCATTTTTTTCAAGTGCTTTCTTGCGTGAAGCTAATAAATCACTGTGCTTCTTGAAAATTGATAGAAAGCAGGGTATAGATATTTTTTTAATTTTTCTTTCATCATGAAATAAGCATTTATGTCCATTTTGTAAATGCATATACCCCCCCCCCACTTTTTTTATGAACTTGTATGAAGATGACCTGCAATTTATGTTGAAAACAGCTGAAAAAATTGTTTGGCACTTAAATTTAAAAAACAATGACAAAATAGGAGAACACATTTATTATAATGAATCTAAAGTACACAGTTATTCAATTCATATTTATATCTTGTAAAATATTAGAAAAAAAAAAAATTCCTACAGACAGATCCAAATCTTTCACAAAAAAAAACACCAAACTTTAAACCAACAAATTAAAAAACCCTGGCCTTGAAGAGTAAAGACAACTTATAAGTCATTTATAAAATAAAAATCTGTTATGTTTTCAGAGTTTACAGACACATGGCAATTCATTATTACTTCAGGTTCAGACTTTATCAGAATGCTTTTTGCTCAGTGTTGATTTGAACATTGTAGTGTACTATGTTTTTCTCAGACAGCATTACGTTTATAAGCTTCTTTATACTCCTTTTATTTTTGATTACCTATTGGTACTGTTTTTCTCATTCATCATTGTTAGTTACTGATGATTACCTTGTAGCAAAATCTGTATTTAATTGATTGCATCTTTGTGTGCAGTTTTAACTTAAATTTAACGCAACAAGAATTGTTTTTGGAGGAGGCTATTATACCTATACATTGGAAATAGAATTACATCAAATTTAATGCAGTTGTTGAATGTAGAAATTTAGAAAATGTACATGACTTTTGCAATATATGTGCCAAATATTAGAGCTATTTATTTTTACTGACACTTTTTCTTTTAATTTATTTCATGACATTGGGCATTACGTTGACAATTACTAATGTAAGACCTCACTGTCCAACTATCTGACTGTCCCTATGCTCTTTTTACTAAGTTTTATCATGACAATAATTAGTAGTAATAAAATGAAGCTTTACATAAACTTGAATGCTGTTGAGTCTACTTTTAAATGTCTTGTGGTTTAGAAATTTCATATATTAAAATATTATGAATTAAATTATTGTAAACTTGCTAACACAAAAAGACTATCATCACAAATGGAACATTTAGTGTTTAAAATGTTTGATTATATTGATGATCAGTTGTGCTAGTTTGATTAGCATGATTAAAACAAATATAAACAGGAACATAAAAATGCATGATCTGTTGAAAGATAAAGGCATTAATTACTAATGACAAGTGAAATGTGTGGAGCATGTGTTTATATTTATTTTATCAGAATTCCTTAAAATTTTGTCCAAGCATTTTAAAAAAAGTTGTGTGCATATTGTATTGATTTAGTAACTAAGTGATAATATCCAAAGCAATCTTAGGACTGGAAAAGCAACCCCCACCCCCACAAAAAAAAGAAAAAAAAAGAAAAGATAAACACTAACATATCACTTTTACCAAAAGCCAAAAGGATAGATGAAAGGATAAAGTTAAAATTATGACTGATAACTGTTATTATTCAAAAACATTAGCTTGATCTAATGTATGATGTACATTACACACATTATTAATGCAATTCTGTTAAAATCACACTGGTTGGTGCAAAGTGAATGACAGTGAATTAAGAGCTATATATTGATGGTGAAAAATTGTTAACAAAAATAACTGAACTCCAAGGTAGATGCAAAAAGGGGGATTTCCATTAAAACTGTCAAAATCAAACATTAGACCATGGAAGTATTATATTGCCAGGAACTCCAACAAACCGACTTTAAACGTTTATAGTGAGATGCTGCAAAATCGTTAAGTATCTGTTAATTAACTCAACATGTCATATCCATGCATGGGTTCAATCAAATTTTTTGGAACGTGACCTCATTGATCGTAATTACAGAATATACCAAAATGACCGGATGTGTACTTAATTGTCAAGGAAATCACATAAACGACAATGTTATTGAATGGCAAATATGTCAGTTTCTATTGATTTTGATACATTAAAACAAATAAATAGGCAGACAAGAAAATCCTTGGACTGTTTGCACAAAAAATCTGAAGAGTTAAAATACTTGCAAGTCATGCTGTGGCCCAATCATCATGACCATTCTTTAAATTAGTTTAGAAATATTTACCATTCATAGTTTAAAGTTTAAACCTATACATCTTCCACACTAGCAAATAAAGACATTGGTCATTTGTTGACGTGGTTCATAAGTGTTTCTCATTTCTTGTTTTTTACATAGATTAGAACGTTGGTTTTCCCGTTTGAATGGTTTTACACTAGTAATTTTTGGGGCCCTTTATAGCTTGCTGTTCGGTGTGAGCCAAGGCTCCGTGTTGAAGGCCGTACTTTGACCTATAATGGTTTACTTTTATAAATTTTGACTTGGATGGAGAGTTGTCTCATTGGCACTCATACCACATCTTCTTATATCTATTGAATATACACCAATGACACAGAAATCCAGCATCACAACAAAACCAGATAAAGACATCAAGACTGCAGTTTTTGGTTTTTAACAAAAGATTTGTGTGTAATTTATGTCTAAGCTCAAAATCATTGCAAATATATCAAAGTTGTGACTACCAAATATCTGCAATTGATGACAATTTTTTGAAGATTAGAAAGAAAAGACATCAAGTTCAAATTTACAAAAATATCTTAAAGCAAATTCAATCTTTTCTTCATTTCAGGGTCTTCAATATTACCCGTTATAGTTTAAGTATATTAAAAGTGAAAACAAATGGAATAAATATACAATATAAGGTCAATGTTAAAAAAGTATCAACTCTTTTGTTCATGGCATAGTAACTGGGAAAGGACAAAAGGTTTCTCAAGCCCTTCAACAGGATTGTGGGTAAGAACCTGTTTACACTAGTAAAAAAGATCGATCTTTCCTGAGATCGATCTTTAGTCAATGTAAACGGGAAAGATCGATCTTCAATCGGACTTAAAAGACCACCTCTGGAGGTGGTTCTAAAAAGATCGATCTTATTTGAATCAATCTTTCTTCAAGTGTAAAAGCTTAGATCGATTGCATTTTTCTTCAAGTGAATGTTATATTTAGAAATGAAAATAAATCTGTGCGTGTTCGGCTGCAAAAACACACAGGTTTAAAAACGATGGGTGGAATAAGAAAAGTAAACACAGATTCCATCATTTTTGTATCATTTTGTTGCAAATTCTCATCTTCAAACGCATTGGCCTTTCATTTTTAAGTGATAGTCTTCTCACATTTCTTTGTTTAATGACTTGTGACGTGTGAACCAAAATGTTGATAAATGACTATATACGAAATTCCAATGATCCAACTATTTTCTTAATTATTTTACAGTTTGTGGTTGTCTGCGTGAGATGCATACATTATTATACTATTCTATTTTTACAATTATTTGTTTACGAAATGTAAAGTAATCAGGTCAGACTGGTTCTTTTTATGTTGCAGTGTAAACACACTAGAGTTAATAAGATGATCTCGTTCGATCTTGCTTGTGCAAATGTAAATGTGAACTGGTCTTTTTAAGATCGATTCAAATAAAGATTGGTTCAATTTTGTACAAGTGTAAACAGGGTCTAATAGAAAAAAGTTGATCTTTTCTTCGTACAAGTGTAAACAGGGTCTAATAGAAAAAAGTTGATCTTTTCCTGACATTAATCTGATATATTGTTTTTCAACCTGCAACAACAACAAAAATAAAAGAAGCCTACAATAACAGCCATACAAATTTTAGCACAAAAATCATACTTATTTTCCATCCATAAAAAAGCCCCTGATTGTGAAGAAAAGTGATGTTACAGTATTTATTGTACTGCAGTACAAATCAAAGATAGCCTTGAGTGTAATTCTTTGTTTAATACTCATTAGCTTTCACTTAAACTCCAGTAAGTCCTTCTATATTTAGGACACAACAGAAAGTGTTCTAGTTAATTATTATATATTGGTAGACCTGTTAAATATTTTTTATTTTCCATTTTGAAAACTAGAATTTGAAATTTTGAAATTTAAATGTACAAAAATTTTATTTGAAAATAATTTACTTATCTCAGTTAAGGGTGTAGATATTATTAGTATTCTACTTATAGATATTGTAAATAAAGTTCCTTGTTTACCTTAAGTCAGTTAACTATTTTATTAGAGGACACTGTTTACACAGGATTGGTGTAAGACATCATCTTTGAATGATTATCTATATGACCAGCATTATAAAACCCAAATTTCAGTTTTATTGATGGCTGATTATATACTGTATATCAGGTTTTTTCTCGTGTGTCTTGTTAAAGCCTTTGTTTGTGGCTATTGAAAAACCAGAAAAATTAACCTCAAGCCTTAATTTCCCTATATATTCCAGATTTATCACTGTTTAAAAGTTTCATACTTTATACTGCTAATTATTGAGTATACATGTATAAGTAGTGGAGGTTCATTATTATTCATTGGATACCAATTTTTATACCCCTGTTTACCGGACCTATTATGGTATATCTTTGTCCATCCGTCTGTCCATCCGTTGTCAACATGTCGAACAAAAACTATGATATGATATTTTATATCTTCCCAAAAAGCTAATAGTTTAATTATGCATGAAAATCAAATGTATTTTGCTCAGAATCCAACTCCTAATTTCCTGTATTAAGACTTGATGGAATGAGTGCTTCTATTCAGTTGAATATCTTTTTGACCTAATGCTTTGCCTTTTTTTACAAGGAATAAAATGAACACAAATGTAACGAAATCTTGCAGGCAAATGTTACAGTAATACTAACAATCATAATGCACTCACTACATCCCATGTAGAGAAAAAATAACTAAAAACACACTCACAGACATTTGGCTTTTGACACTTGCATATCTATGTTACATTCCCGTTTTTTTTCTCATGGTCAGTAGTAAAACAAGGAAAATAGTACAAAGATGATGTACTTATCATACATATGAATATTAATTGAACAATTTCGGTAAAAGAGATAAAAACAAAAAAAAGATTGAATAGTTAATAAAAGCTTAAATGATACTGAAAACACTTGCTCAAGGTCTTTTAAAATCTGCTAACTATATATTATTTCCTTCATTATCTGGCACAGTATCATATGATACTAGTACAATATGTATTTGAGATAAGTAACAGTTTTATAGTTGAAGTTATAAATAATGATAATGTAATTTTCAACAGTTTGTATAATCAGAGTTGCTGTGATATATTGTGAAAAATGAGAATATAATGATTTTATCTCTATATATTTAGCATGCTGCAGAGTTGGAGAAAAAACAGAATGAACAAGAATATAAGAAACAACTTGGCAATGAAATCCAATACGGCAATGTGGTTCAGGTACATTCTGAATAGAATTATTTCATGTATGTGATGAGGACATAAGTTCTCTTTTTTATCAGAGGTCATGTCATGGATATAGGATAGATAGGAGAACATAAATTTAGATATGAATTCAACATAAAAAGGGATAACAGAAATCAGCAAAAATAATGCTCCATACAAACAGACCACATGAACCACCAACAAATGACTTACAAAGACACACAACAACTAACAACACTTGGTTGAGGTAGACTGATTTAGAACAGGCACAAAATGTCGTAGGGTTAAACCAGTGTGAGCACAAACCTTTCTCTTTGTCTTTCTAGACCATATGTCTTTACACAAAATCACACAATAAAACAATTTGCACAGTGCAGCTACCAACAGGACCACTAAACTTGAATTTGGAAATAAAAAGAAATGACACAAAATTTGAAAAGCAGGTTCTAAATATGCTCCCTTCTACATGCAGCTAGCTAAGGTAGCTACAGCTGTTGATTTTAAATTACATCATGGAATGCTTATCTAAATAAAGAACAAATAAGAAAAGAAGAGCTTTAAAAAACAAATAAAACAACCTTTAAAAGCATTAGATAGTAATATTGCTGTCATTTGAAACACTGTCTGTCCTTGCCAATATTCTCAGGTCTAAAACATAACAATGAAAGAAACACTCAGGTGAAATATTACTTGACAGATTGATAGATTAAAGACTCCATAACAAATATGACTTTGTTTTCATTCCTATTTGGTAATTAAGACTACCTGGCAATCACCTTGGATGCCAGACAGAGTTGACAATCCAAAGTCCTAATTTAAAATAAAATTGAGACTCAGAGATGTGGTATGATTGCCAATAAGACAACTGTCCACTAGAGACCTAAGGACAAGGATGTAAACAACTTAGTTCAGTGATTTTTGTTTCAATGACAAACCATGGGACTTATGCAATATAAGAAATTATAAGAATATAATATAAGAATTATTTCTGCTATGTTTGGTTGATTTCTCCAACTACAGGTGACTGGTTATCTGACTGACAAAATAAATTGAGATAACAGGAATTTTGAGGCATCAATAGTGAATATAATACAATTATCTATTGAGACAAAAATTTAATTTTGAAATGACAGGAAGTGGGAGATAAAATAGTTTATTATATACTTAGTAGTAAATACAGATAAATTGTATGTGTAATACAGTCATTGGCAAGCGTGCTGTATCAGCCACCCGTGATGATATCGATATCAGCACGGTTGCAAAGGCTTTATCACACCTTTAATCTGTATGATGTCACGTCATCGATTGCAGTCACTGTTGCAAAGGCTTTATCAAACCCCTAACCTGTATGACGTCATTTCAAACCTCTAATTGTATGACATCATTTCAAATCCCCTTATATTTATGATGTCATGTCACATAAAAACATCTACGTGAGGTACATGTATATAATAAAGTGTATATGATATGGCTTTTTCAATATCACACACCGTATCAACCCTCAACCTATATAATCCCTCGAGCAGAGCTCTTATGATTATATTGGTGTCTCGGGTTGATACGGATGTGATATTGAAAAAGCCATATGTTATTCTCTATATATAAGATGAAGAGAGTCAAATACAAATGTATATATTCTGTTAATTTCTTTTATTTTGGCAATAAAAACACAGATAGTTAAAAATGATGACAGGCCCTTCAGAAGATTTATTATACCCCAATTAAAAAAAGTTCTATAGGGTGTAATGTTTATAACCCATCCTTCCGTCAGTCCCTCTGTCCATCCGTCAGTCCTGTTCTTGTCATCACAACTCCTCTGAAACCACACAACAGAATTTCATGAATCTTTGTAGATATTAAGGACATACTAGATATGCATATCGACAGGAAATTATGATTCTATTTTTTTAACATAGAATTTCAGCCTAAATATACTTCTGCAACAGTTTGTTATCGCAACTCCTCTGAAACCACACAACAGAATTTCATGAAACTTTGTAGATATTAAGGACATACTAGATATACATAATGACAGGAAATTATGATTCTATTTTTTTCCCAGGAGTTATGCACCTTTGAACATAGAATTTCAGCCTAAATATACCTCTGCAACAGTTTGTTATCGCAACTCCTCTGAAACCCCACAACAGAATTTCATGAAACTTTGTAGAAAATAATGACATAATGTGCATATCAAAAAGAAATTTTTATCAGGTGACTTTTGTAGGAGTTATGAATCTTTGAACTTAGGAATCTGGTGAAATTTTGTATGCCCAGTGACAATGTGGGGCCTGGGGTATGTGAGCATGCTCACAAAGGTTCTTTGATTTTTGAATCAAGAAACAGTTTTTCTACCACAGCAAGATATAGAGCCTTATGTAAATTAAATGTAGAACGCTCATGTGGGAGATCCCAACATAAGATTTTCGGTACAGACGTGCAACTGGAATTTACCCCCACCCCCATTCATATATTGAAGTTTTTGTGGAAATCCTTACCCGTTTATATACTTGAATTTAAAAAAGCAACCCATTCACATATTTCTCAGTTATCGCATATACAATCTTTGACAGCTAATAAAGACTTAAGGATATAGTTAAGTCAGGTTTAGGAACTTTTGTCAGGTGTTCGTACTCCTTGGGTTTTTTCCTACGATACAGGGTAAAATATTTTGCCTCATATCACCCACTTTTCTTTTCATAGAAGACTTAAAAAGCTCTTAAAAAGGTCATTACCAAAATTTCATTTGATTCTAGATTTCTTTTTTTACGATTTTAGACCCAAATAATGCCAATCTAAATATAAGGTAAAAGTCTGAGTCAGCCTTTTCCCGGTCTTTCATGTCGTCGTCGTCGTCCGAAGACACATTTGTTTTCCGAACAATAACTTTAGTTTAAGTGAATGGATCTCTATGAAATCTTACCAGAAGGTTCAATTCCACAAAAGGAAGGTTGGGATTGATTTTGGGGGTTATGGTACCAACAGTTTCGGAATTAGGGGCCAAAAACAAGCATTTTTGTAGTTTCCGGACAATAACTTGTGTGTAAGTGTATGGATCTCTCTGAAATTGTACCACAAGGTTCCATATCACAATGGGAAACCTTGGATTGAGTTTGGGGGTAATTACTCCAGGGGGGGATTTTTTTTTCCTATTTTTTTGGGGGGTTTATATTTTTTTTCTTCAAAATTTTAGAAATTTCAAATTTTTTGAAAAGCTTCAAAAAGAAATCTTCAATTGCACAGTACTGCGCAATAGCAAGAAATCTTCAATAGCACAGTATTGCGGAATAGCAAGAAATCTTCATTTGCACAGTATTGTGCAACAGCACAGTATTGCGCAATAGCACAGTATTGGGCAATAGCACAGTATTGCACAATAACACGCTGTGATATTGCGCAATAGCAAGAAATCTTCAATTGCACAGTATTGCTCAACAACACAGTATTGCGCAACAGCACAGTATTGCGCAACAGTACAGTATTGCGCAATAGCAAGAAATCTTCAATTGAAAATAAATACAAATCTTTTAACCAATTTGAATGGGATTAATTTAAAGTCTTTAATTTTTGGGGGTTCTAACCTTGTATTACTATTTTGGATATTGGGTCCCATTTTTAAATTGGTCTACATTGAGGTCAAAAAGGTCCAAAATTAAACCTTGTTTGATTTCATCAAAAACTGAATTATTGCGGCTGTATGATATGCTGAATCTTATTGTGCATTTAGATTTTTTATTTTGGGCCCTGTTTTCAAATTAGTCCATATTAAGGTTTGAAGGGTCCAAAATTAAACTTTGTTTGATTTCAACTAAAATTAAATTTTTGGTGTTTTTTTATATGCTGAATCTAACCATGTTGTTAGATTTTGGATATCAGACCATTCTAGGTAAATTAAATGTCCCATTTCAAATTTTTAAGATCTTTGACCACATTTTTTTTGTGTCGGAAACCTATATTATGTCAAAAATTTGATCACAATCCAAATTTACACAGTATAAAGCTTGAATATTGTGTCCAAACTTGCCCCAACTGTTCAGGGTTCGACCTCTGCGGTCGTATCAGGCTGCGCTCAGCGAAGCATTTTATTTAAAATCAAATATCTCAAAAAGGAGTTCCATAACCTATCAATATTTTTAGCTTATTTTGTTCCTCAACTAATGCTCTTCTGATTTATTGTATCAATTTTAAATTCCAGATTTTTTAAATTTCACCTGATTTCATCCTTAAAAGCATTGTTCCAGCTAGGATTTCAAAAGGGCAGGGAGCCAATCATGAAAAGGGCACTTTAGCACGCTGATTGATAATTCAAAAATGTCACGTCAAACATTGTCTTTTATTATGTAAACAGCAGGGGTTTCAGCTAGGACTTTGAGGGCTTTAGTCACTTTTACGCGAGATGAAAATCAACCTTATTTTGGGTAACAGTAAGGGACCAAGGATGCATATTACTAGCTATACATATGCCCAAGTCCTTCAAGGACCAGGATCGTTGAAGGCCTTAGGCATGCTACAAATGTAGGCAGTTATTGCATGATTTGACTGATGTGATGCTTGAATATAAAGATTAGAACAAGGATCTGAAATCTAGACTAGTTCACCAAAAGTTGGGATCACAGCATAAATGAAATTGTAACGACTATTTCACTGCATAATCATTATCCCTGTAAAAACGTTTAAATCGATATTTGGAATTCATTTTTATACGACCGCAAATGCTGGGATTGATTTTGGGGGTAATTGCCTGAAAATTTTAGGAATTAGGGGCAAAAAAAGGGGCAAAAAACAAGCATTTTTATATGGACAAATACTTTAGTACAAATCATAATTTAAAGTAGTGTAAGGAAGATAAATCAAATACATCATTTGAATTACCTCCCTTACACTGCTTTTAAATTATGTATAAAGTAATGGTTAATGAACAATTAAGACAATTTAAAACAGTGTAAGGGAGGTAATCCACATACGTTTTGATTACTTCCCTTACACTGCTTTTAAATTATGTTTAAAGAAATGCATATTTATAAAGGAAGACCAGTAAAAATATCTGCAAATGTTGCATCTTTTTTTTTTTTACAAAAAAATCCATATGAAAGATTTGACACCATGTTTTAAATTCTATTATAAAATAGATTAAGTTAGCACTATGGTAAATTTAAATGGGTAATTATGGTTGCAAATTCCATTGGAAATTTGAATTGAGATTATGACCATATCTTGAGGGAAAGATTTTTTTTGGGGAAAAAGGGGAAGTGGGGGGGGGGGGGGGGGGGGGGGGGGGTAAAAAGAAATTGTGGGGGGTCAATTTTTTCTCATTTCAGATTTCAGAAATTAAAAAGAATTATTCTTCAAATATTATTTTTTTTTCAAATTTCAAATATTGAAAAATTTCAAGAAGTAATCTTTAATTGCACAGTATGGCGCATTAGATTTGTAAAATCTTTGACCACATTTATTTATTTGTTATGCCAAATCTGACCGTGTATTTAGATTTTTAATTTTGGGTCCAGTTTTCAAATTGGTCTACATTAGGGTCCAAAGGGTCCAAAATTAAACTTAGTTTGATTTTAACAAAAATTGAATATATGGGGTTCTTTGATATGCTGAATCTAAACATGTATTTAGATTTTTGATTTTGGGCCCAGTTTTCAAGTTGGTCCAAATTGGGGTCCAAAATTAAAATTTGTTTGATTTCAACAAAAATTGAATATGTGGGGTTCTTTGATATGCTGAATCTAATCATGTATTTAGATTTTTTATTTGTTGGCCCCGCTATCAAATTGGTTCATATTGAGGTCAAAAGGGTCCAAAATTAAACTTTGTTTTATTTCATCAAAATTTGATTATTGTGGTTCTTTGATATGCCAAATCTAACCGTGTATTTAGATTTTTAATTTTGGGTCCCGTTTTTTAAATTAGTCTACATTAAGGTCCAAAGGGTCCAAAATTAAACTTAGTTTGATTTTAACAAAAATTGAATTCTTTGGGTTCTTTGATATGCTGAATCTAAACATGTATTTTGATTTTTGGGCCCAGTTATCAAATTGGTCCACATTGAGGTCAAAAGGATCCAAAATTAAACTTTGTTTGATTTAATCAAAAATTGAATTCTTTGGATTCTTTGATATGCTGAATCTAACCATGTATTTAGATTTTGGATATTGGACCATAATAGGTAAATTTAAAATTTTTAAGTTCTTAGACCACATTCATTCTGTGTCAGAAACCTATGCTGTGTCAAATATTTAATCACAATCCAAATTCAGAGCTGTATCAAGCTTGAATGTTGTGTCCATACTTGCCCCAACTGTCCAGGGTTCGACCTCTGCGGTCGTATCAGGCTGCGCTCAGCGAAGCATTTTATTTAAAATCAAATATCTCAAAAAGGAGTTCCATAACCTATCAATATTTTTAGCTTATTTTGTTCCTCAACTAATGCTCTTCTGATTTATTGTATCAATTTTAAATTCCAGATTTTTTAAATTTCACCTGATTTCATCCTTAAAAGCATTGTTCCAGCTAGGATTTCAAAAGGGCAGGGAGCCAATCATGAAAAGGGCACTTTAGCACGCTGATTGATAATTCAAAAATGTCACGTCAAACATTGTCTTTTATTATGTAAACAGCAGGGGTTTCAGCTAGGAGTTTGAGGGCTTTAGTCACTTTTACGCGAGATGAAAATCAACCTTATTTTGGGTAACAGTAAGGGACCAAGGATGCATATTACTAGCTATACATATGCCCAAGTCTTTCAAGGACCAGGATCGTTGAAGGCCTTAGGCATGCTACAAATGTAGGCAGTTATTGCATGATTTGACTGATGTGATGCTTGAATATAAAGATTAGAACAAGGATCTGAAATCTAGACTAGTTCACCAAAAGTTGGGATCACAGCATAAATGAAATTGTAACGACTATTTCACTGCATAATCATTATCCCTGTAAAAACGTTTAAATCGATATTTGGAATTCATTTTTATACGACCGCAAATGCTGGGATTGATTTTGGGGGTAATTGCCTGAAAATTTTAGGAATTAGGGGCAAAAAAAGGGGCAAAAAACAAGCATTTTTATATGGACAAATACTTTAGTACAAATCATAATTTAAAGTAGTGTAAGGGAGATAAATCAAATACATCATTTGAATTACCTCCCTTACACTGCTTTTAAATTATGTATAAAGTAATGGTTAATGAACAATTAAGACAATTTAAAACAGTGTAAGGGAGGTAATCCACATACGTTTTGATTACTTCCCTTACACTGCTTTTAAATTATGTTTAAAGAAATGCATATTTATAAAGGAAGACCAGTAAAAATATCTGCAAATGTTGCATCTTTTTTTTTTTACAAAAAAATCCATATGAAAGATTTGACACCATGTTTTAAATTCTATTATAGAATAGATTAAGTTAGCACTATGGTAAATTTAAATGGGTAATTATGGTTGCAAATTCCATTGGAAATTTGAATTGAGATTATGACCATATCTTGAGGGAAAGATTTTTTTTGGGGAAAAAGGGGAAGTGGGGGGGGGGGGGGGGGGGGGTGTAAAAAGAAATTGTGGGGGGTCAATTTTTTCTCATTTCAGATTTCAGAAATTAAAAAGAATTATTCTTCAAATATTATTTTTTTTTCAAATTTCAAATATTGAAAAATTTCAAGAAGTAATCTTTAATTGCACAGTATGGCGCATTAGATTTGTAAAATCTTTGACCACATTTATTTATTTGTTATGCCAAATCTGACCGTGTATTTAGATTTTTAATTTTGGGTCCAGTTTTCAAATTGGTCTACATTAGGGTCCAAAGGGTCCAAAATTAAACTTAGTTTGATTTTAACAAAAATTGAATATATGGGGTTCTTTGATATGCTGAATCTAAACATGTATTTAGATTTTTGATTTTGGGCCCAGTTTTCAAGTTGGTCCAAATTGGGGTCCAAAATTAAAATTTGTTTGATTTCAACAAAAATTGAATATGTGGGGTTCTTTGATATGCTGAATCTAATCATGTATTTAGATTTTTTATTTGTTGGCCCCACTATCAAATTGGTTCATATTGAGGTCAAAAGGGTCCAAAATTAAACTTTGTTTTATTTCATCAAAATTTGATTATTGTGGTTCTTTGATATGCCAAATCTAACCGTGTATTTAGATTTTTAATTTTGGGTCCCGTTTTTTAAATTAGTCTACATTAAGGTCCAAAGGGTCCAAAATTAAACTTAGTTTGATTTTAACAAAAATTGAATTCTTTGGGTTCTTTGATATGCTGAATCTAAACATGTATTTTGATTTTTGGGCCCAGTTATCAAATTGGTCCACATTGAGGTCAAAAGGATCCAAAATTAAACTTTGTTTGATTTAATCAAAAATTGAATTCTTTGGATTCTTTGATATGCTGAATCTAACCATGTATTTAGATTTTGGATATTGGACCATAATAGGTAAATTTAAAAATTTTAAGTTCTTAGACCACATTCATTCTGTGTCAGAAACCTATGCTGTGTCAAATATTTAATCACAATCCAAATTCAGAGCTGTATCAAGCTTGAATGTTGTGTCCATACTTGCCCCAACTGTTCAGGGTTCGACCTCTGTGGTTGTATGAAGCTGCGCCCAGCGGAGCATTTTATTATAAACCTGGATCGATAAAAATGACTGTATATTTTAAATTTATCAAGAATAGATCACTTTTACTTTTGATTTTTTAAAAGAAATGAAAACGGGAAGTGACAAGAGGATAATAAATGTAGAATGAATCTGATTCATATAAGGATTGGTTCGTTTTTAACAAAAAGGAAGTAAATTATTATCATTTTTGTCTCGCCTTGACGGAGTCAAAAAGCGAGACATAGGTATGCTGTTTCCAGCGGCGTCGGTGTGAACAATGTATTAGTTTGTGATTAGGTCTAGTTTATGGTGAACCACTAGTGGTAGGTCAATGATATTTGGTATGCAGTTGTATTAGCATTGGCACATCTCATTTCCATGGAGATTATTTGGCCCTGCCCCCTCAGTCATGGTCTATTGACTTTAAAACTTTTGCTTAGTTTACATGTATTAGTTTGTGATTAGGTCAGTTTATGGGGAACCACTAGTGGTAGTGGTATGTCAATGATATTTGATATGCAGTTGTATAAGTATTGGCATATCTTATTTCCATGGAGATTATTTGGCTCTGCCCCCTCAGTCATGGTCTATTGACTTTAAAACTTTTGCCTTGTTTACATGTATTAGTTTGTGATTAGGTCAGTTTATGGGGAACCATTAGTGGTAGGTCAATGATATTTGGTATGCAGTTGTATAAGTATTGGCATATCTTATTTCCATGGAGATTATTTGGCTCCGCTCTTTCAGTCATGGTCTATTGACTTTGAAACTTTTGCTTAGTTTACATGTATTAGTTTGTGATTAGGTCAGTTTATAGGGAACCATTAGTGGTAGGTCAATAATATTTAATATACAGTTGTATAAGTATTGTCATATCTTATTTCCATGGAGATTATTTGGCTCCGCCCCTTCAGTCATGGTCTGTTGACTTTGTAACTTTTGCTTAGTTTACATGTAATAGTTTGTGATTAGGTCAGTTCAAGGGGAACCATTAATGGTAGGCCAATGTTAATTTGTATGCAGTTGTATAGGCATTGGCAGATCTCATTTCCATGGAGAATATTTGGCCCCACCCCCTCAGTCATGGTCTATTGACTTTGAAACTTTTGCTTAGTTTACATGTATTATGTACAATGATATATGGTATGCAAATTTATTGGCATTTGCAAGTCTCGTTAGCATGGATATTATATAGCCTCACCCCCTCATCATGGTTCATTGACTTTGAAACTTTAACATAGTTTAGAAGTTAATGTTTGTATTTGGGATTGTTTAAAGGGAACGACTTATGATAAGTCAATGGTATTTGGTATGCAGTTGTATTAGCATTGGCACATCTCATTTCCATGCAGATTGTTTAGCCATGTACCTTCAGTCATGGATCAGTGACTTTGAATATTTGCATAACTTACATGTTATAGTATTGCTATTTTAATTTCAACATTTGCATTATCAAAATTACAAAAAGGCGAGACATATCTCTGTGTTAACAGTTTATTTAAATTAAGTTGCTCAGTAAGAAATATAATTGTCTCTCTCGTTTAATTTGATACTCAATGATTTTGTATTTTACGTTTTAGTGTCTATTAAATTTATAAGAATATGTTCAAGCATAAAAAGTACATGATAAAGAAAGCACATGTTTGACTCAGGAAAATGTTTTTGAACATTTTGAATAAAGTTTTGATATTATCTTTATAATCCAAATTGTCGAAAGATTTTGGTGAAAAGTTATAATATATAAAATGTTGCATATCACGAAATAACCTCAAACAAGCTGCTAGTGGTGATCGATTGAGAAATTTTGAATTTAAAATGCGAACTGTCTGGGGAAAACAATTTTTGTTGAGCCTGCGACTTTTGTTGCAGATAGCTCGACATAGGGATAGTGATCAGGCGGCGGCGGCGTTAGCTAACTTCTTAAAAGCTTTATATTTTAGAAGCTAGAAGACTTGGATGCTTAATACTTTGTATATAGATGCCTTATGTTACGAAGTTTCCGTCTGTCATATGTCCTTTGTCCTTGACCTCATTTTCATGGTTCAGTGACTACTTGAAAAAAAGTCCACATTTTTTGTAATGTTAATTTCTTTCTTATAATGAGTAATAGGATAACTATATTTGGTATGTGCGTACCTTGCAAGGTCCTCATGCCCATCAGACAATTTTCATTTGACCTCGACCTCATTTCATGGATCAGTGAACAGGGTTAAGTTTTTGTGGTCAAGTCCATATATCAGATACTATAAGCAGTAGGTCTACTATATTTGGTATATGGAATGATTGTAAGGTGTACATGTCCAACTGGTAGGTGTCATCTGACCTTGATGTCATTTTCATGGTTCAGTGGTCAAAGTTAAGTTTTTGAGTTTTGGTCTTTTTTTCTAATACTATATGCAATAGGTCAACTATATTTGGTGTATGGAAATATTTTATGATGTGCATGTCAGTCTCGCAAGTTTTTGATTTGACCTTGACCTCATTTTCACGGTTCATTTCTCAGTGTTAAGTTTTTGTGTTTTGGTCTGTTTTTCTTCAACTATAAGCAATAGATAAACTATATTTGTTGTATGGAAGGATTGTAAGGTGTATATGTCTGTCTGGCAGGTATCATCTGACCTTGACCTCATTTTCATGGTTCATTGGTCAGTGTTAAGTTTTCATGGTTAAGTTTGTTTCTTAGGTACTATAAGCAATAGGTGAACTATATTT